AAATACCAGCCAGGGCGGTTTTCTTCAAAGGGGGGGTGGGAAGAAGTGCATGCTGTGTATGTGGGGTCCTCCTCTAACCTGTTACCTGTGCCAGTCTAACACCTCTGCAGTGCTGCTGCTTTCCAGCCGGAGATCAAGAGCAGTCTTTGGAAGCGGAGATCAGAATGATCCCCGAGCCTTTGCAAGCTGCCAGGGAGAGCGGGTTCCTCTGTTTCTCCTGTGGCTTGGAAAGTTTAACTTTCTCTAGTGGCAAAAAGCTTACTTTTGACTTAAGCTGGAGAATAACACCGCATGCTGCCCTCCCTCCCACGGGGCAGCAGGAGCGGCTGGTTGGGAGGTGCACGGCCCTCGTGCCAAGGCAGCTTCCCTGCTCCTCGGCAGTCTGCGCTCTGGGAGCGGGCAGTTTGCGTTCCATGCTCGGACGAGGGCCCTTTGCATGAGCAGGTCTGCCTCTCCTTTCTTCCTGGGGCTGGGTCTTTCCCTTGTTGGCAGCAGAGCAGGGAGCTCTGGCAGCGGCCCCAGCCTTGCCCTGGGTGACTGAGGGAGGCCCATGGTGACATGAGTAGGAGCTTGTAGCCACTCAGCAAAATCTGATTTGTGCTTTGCCCTGCTCTGCCCCGCTGCCCTCAGAGAGCCTGAGGTGAATGAAGAAGGGAAAGGCGACTCCAGCTTTTAAATTAAATCTAGCTCCAGACCTAGCTTGAGGCACTCGTGATTTCATGCTGAGGAAAGACAGTGTTTTTGGCAGAAGTCCTGAGCTAGTTTCCAGAGATGACTCCTTCACAAAACAGGTTCGGTACGGGTCCGTTGCTCCGCACGCGCTGGAGGAGGGGGATGTTCCCAGCGGCATTGCAGCCCGACGCTGTTCCCGGGTGGATTAAATCTAGCTCCAGACCTAGCTTGAGGCACTCGTGATTTCATGCTGAGGAAAGACAGTGTTTTTGGCAGAAGTCCTGAGCTAGTTTCCAGAGATGACTCCTTCACAAAACAGGTTCGGTACGGGTCCGTTGCTCCGCACGCGCTGGAGGAGGGGGATGTTCCCAGCGGCATTGCAGCCCGACGCTGTTCCCGGGTGGCACAGGGAGAAGACCCCGGTTCCTCCATCAGGCAGCTGCATGAGTTGGGCTTAGAATCGTCACTGGAACAAGTTTTAGCAAGTTGTCATAGCAGTTGTTCCAGTACAATGACTCTGCTCCCCTTTCTCTCCCTGGAATGTGCTCTCATTTAGATTGTACTGAGGCACGGGGCCTTGTTGTTTACCCTCTAAAAATAGATTTCATAGAGGATAAAATTACCTGAGCCCAAGACAATGATGAAAAATGAGAACAAGGAAGAAAATAGAAGAAATGAAAGCCGAGGCCCAAAGACTTCCAGATTTCAGTGAATTTGGAGCACTGCCGTGATGGCTCAGGCCCCTCTGGAGAACAGACCTTTGACAGGGCTCTTACACGTTTTAGCCACATGGTTTGAGTGAGGGGAGGCAGCCGAGAATGGATCTAAAGCCAGCAGGAGCAGATACTTTCTCATTCTTTGTGTCGACTCCTCCTTCTCACCCCACCAAAAATACCCGCTTACACAAATATTTAATGTGAAGCCAGAAATTAGTTTCTAAATATTCCATTGGGATTTGCCGTGCTTATAATTTGTTTGGCACTGATAATTACATCTTACATTTTTCCAGCTTTACTTAAAACTGTGTACTGCTCACCCATGCATTTAATTATTGCTCTGTGACTGCTACAAGGTTATTTATTAACGAGTTATTTTATCTTGATACAGTGGATCTTTTCTCTTATTCCCCTCCTTAATGTTGTGTTATTTTCATCAGAGAAATTTCAGAGAGGGAATGCAAATTGCATAGCTCCACAGTCTTGCTCTCCCTTACTTTGCTATTAGTATGTCAGTATGCTGAATGCTGATGTGTCTCCAGTGCTGCACCACTGTAATGATATATCCTCTTTTATATGTGGTTGTCAGCGCAAATAATTAGACCTAAAAGTTATAGCTGAAATATAATCCAAAAATGGCAAGGCCCTGTTTTGGAAATTGTCTATAAAATGTCAGCACTCAAGGATGCATTGGGAGCATAAATAGTACAGCATTGTTTGAGCACAAGATTAGACTGTAAATGCATTTTTTCTGGTTCCAATTTTTCCTCTCCTGCTGTTGATTCTGTCAATAGATTGTGAGACTCCAGCAACTGCCTTTCCATTTGAAGTCCTTCCTTAAAATGATAGCACTAGGAAGAGATGAAAGGTGTCTACAGATGAGTAAACCATGCAGACCGATGATCATGTCTGAGGATATCTCCTAAATTCACTCCTTCCCGACTCTGAGGAGGTGATTTCTGAGGAAGGCGGGATTTTGGGCAGGGTAGCAGTGTGGTGAGGGCACGAGCACACCCCGTACAGCAAGGATATTCCAGGTTGCCTGTCCGGGGTAAAGGAATTGGGCAGTGTCACCTTCTCAAAGATGTGTCCCTACATCACTCTCTACTAGTCATCCCAGCCAGGAGGTTAGAGCAGGTCCCTCCGAACTTGCCTTTGCTGTGCCGGGGGCCAGGGAGGAGCAGCAGGACTTTAGACTGCTCCTGCTTCGTGCAGGGAAGAGCAAAGGGGAGAGGGTGTCAGGGCAATAGCGCAGGACCAGAGCAGTTGGGATCACCCCAGAGAGGAGCGGAGAAGCACGCAGGGCACAGGCACAGGCCTCCATGGCCATGGGGCAGCACCCAGCGGGCCTGTGATGGGGGTGTCAGGAGGGAGAGGATGGAGCCCAGTTGGTCGCGGTGGGAAGACAACCCAGAAGCAAGAGCAGGCACGTAGAGGTCCCTGCGCCTCGGCAAGGTGGAGGGAGGGGTGTTAGTGTTGTTGATTGCTCGGCTGTAGTGTGGCCGGCAGCCGTCAGGGAAAGCAGTTTGGTTTCCCCTTCCCTCGCAGCACCAGGCAGGTTGGGGAGCGTGACAATTCCTC